TTGGCATGTAGTAGAAGTTTAAAGTGTTCCATAAATGATAAATGTATGAAGGAATAGTTTCCTTCAAGGTGAATCTAAAGATAGAAGCAATCCAGTAGAGGACCTTGATGAAGCCAAGTGGGTTGAGGTGGATCTGGAAGCTGGACCATCCTCTGGCCAAGTCAGCCAATCCGCCTGTGAGCTAAGTAGATGTTAGGCGCCTTGCTGTGTGCCTTGTTTTTTTGTTTTTTAAATTTTTTTAAAAAGAGAGATTGGGACCCAAAGCTAAAACTTTTGAGTGTTGAAAACAACGTATCTCTTTATTAAAACAGAGCATAAAAGCACCCTACTTATTGTTGTTTTCCCTTTACGCACTCTGTGAGGCCAGTCACCCTAGTTTTGATTCTGGAAAGAACGTGTATAGGTCAAAAGGAGTTGGCTGATCAAACATTCTTATTGTCCCCCTTGAATTCTGACATCCTGATTCTCAATTTCTCCAACAGTAATCCGTAAGATGTTGTATTTCTGAAGTATTGGCCTCATTGAGCACATCAAAATTCCATTTCTTTCCATTTCTCATCTGGAGTTTTCAGACATAACTAACACTGAGGAACATAATGGAAGTAGAGTATAAGACGCTTTTGAAAGTTTGAATTTTCATATACTGTATTTGGTTCTGTTGTAACAGATTAGCTCCAGGGTTTGTGATCCCAACCTATAGACTGTTTATAAGACTTTTAATCCCACCTATCCTGTTGTTCTGTAGCACATAACACCTCCTAACATCATGTCTAATGTTGTGCTTCTTTATTGTGTGTGTCATATAGGTTTGTCTCAGATTAGAATGTGAATTCCCCAAGGACAGAGTTTTTTGTATTTTGCTCACGGATACATCCAAAAGCCTAAAATGGTGTCTTGGCATGTAGTAGAAGTTTAAAGTGTTCCATAAATGATAAATGAATGAAGGAATAGTTTCCTTCAAGGTGAATCTAAAATAAAGGCTCTTACCTTGCTACCTTGTCAGCTAATACTATTTTCCCTCTTCTCTTGAGGGAGAAGCAAATTGTTGCTACACATCAGGAGATATATCCCCCCCATTTACTCTTTGTCAAAGCTTAACAGTGTCAACACCATTTGCATAATATAATAATTATTGTCTAGACAAGAACGAAATATGTACATTAGTGGGAGAATTTTCAGTTGCACAATCTTTTAGTTTGCGTAACTAAGGAATTTGAAAATATCTTCAGGCTGGGCATAGTGGCCCATGCCTATAATCCCAGAACTGTGGGAGGCCGAAACAGGTGGATCACTTGAACCCAGGAGTTTGAGACCGTCTTGAGCAATGCAGAGCCTGTTTCTATTAACAAAAATAAATAAAATAGCTGGGTGTGGTGGCATGTGCCTGTGGTCCCAATGCTTCAGAGGCTGAGGAGGGAGGATCACTTGAGCCTGAGAGTTTGAGGCTGCAGTGAACTATGGTCGCGCCACTGTACTCCAGGCTTGGAGACAGTGAGATATTTAAAAAAAAAAAAGAAAAGAAAAAGAAAACATTAAAAAATGTTTTGATGTAATCTGTGCTGCCTAGCATTTTGTTCTCCAAGCTAAGTAGAATAATGCCTTTTATTTACATGTTAAATGGAAGCCTATTTTTAGTCTAAATGTAAGTCTTAAAGTACTGAACAGAAATATCTTCCACATCCTATTGCATTAAATCCCTACTAATATTTTAATGGTAATTGTGATAGTACCTAAATAACTATTGTGTAAGAATAAAATTAATGTAAAAAAAATTTTAAATATGTAGTCTTACTGAGTACATTTGCTTTTCATGGTATCTTTTCTCCGTTTATATTCAAGTTTTATGAGCAATATGATGATGATGAAATTGGAGCTCTGGATAATGCAGAATTGGAAGGTTCTATTCAAGTGGACAGCAATCGCTTACAGGAAGTTTTGAATGACTACTATAAAGAAAAGGCAGAGAAGTACAGTGACTTTTCTTTCCTTGTTTATCTGTTCTTTTTTTTAAAAAAGAAAAAATTCCAAAGAAAGGTCTATAGTATAACTGAATTGAGGAAAAAATTAACCTAGTCAAAATCCATATTAAGAAAATGAAAAAGGAAAAAAAAAGATAGGAGGGGGGAAAAAAGAAAGTGGTACATTTTCCATAAACTTTGGCTCATGTATAGCTCATCTGTTTTGCCTACATTTTGGTGTTAAGCATTCTGAAGTAGAATGTAATGGGAATATACGAGGAGCCACTTTTTCCGTACCTTTGACTTGAGAAGAGTCGTGGTAGAATGTGTTTCGTTTTTTAATTTTTTTTTTTTTTTTTTTTGAGATGGAGTCTTGCTCTGTTGCCCAGGCTGGAATGTAGTGGTGTGATCTCAGCTCACCTGCAACCTCCACCTCCTAGGTTCAGGTGATTCTCCTGCCTCAGCTCCTGAGCCGATGTGATTACAGGGGCATGCCGCCATGCCCAGCTAATTTTTGTATTTTTAGTAGAGACAGGGTTCCACCATGTTGGCCAGGCTGGTCTCAAACTCAACCCCATGTAATATGCCCGCCTCGGCCTCCCAAAGTGCTGGGATTATAGGCGTGAGCCACCGCGCCCAGCCCATTTTAAATTTTTTTTACTTTTATTTTGCTTACAAGTTAAAGAAATAAAGGGACACATTCCCCTTGGGAAATAAGATGATATTTCTAGTCTTTGGGCTGAAGAATTATTCCAAGTATATGCTCTTTTCATCTTTCTGAAATGCCAGGTGTTTTGAGAAGTAGGTATTTACATCTCGTGGAAAGATAAGAATTTGTCTCTCCAGCTAGATTAGAGGAACTGACCAGCTGGTTATTTTGGCAAATCAGCATCCACATCAAGGTGACTCTCCTCTGAGAGAAACTGATGAAGTGTTCAAATCTGCTAGAAAGGTCTGATGTTCCATGATCACTATAATATATAGATCCCATAGCAGGACAAGGAGCTGTATAGTTTGAGTAAAATATTTGAATCCTTCGCAGAGACAGATGAGTTATGCTTTTTTAGGCTTTAAAAACCTGTTTTCTTAGGAAGCTGCCTTGGAAAGACACAGCTAGATGTTACCTTCCTATCAGCTAAGTGAATATCCAAAACTCACTGGAGGGAAAAGGCAGGGCTGGGTAGAACAGAGTTTGACAGAAAATGACAGATAGGTCACTGGAATATGTGCATTTTAAAACACTGGTTTTTTCCCACAGCTAGAAATTGCAGTTTTAGTGACATAGTATAATAAGAGGTCATTTTCTCCCCTCTCGGTCTTCACTTTTAAAAACTCATCCAAAAGTTGTGTAAAATTGAATACTCTTGAACCCTTGGAGGATCAAGACCTGCCAATGAATGAGTTTGATGAGTCTGAGGAGGAAGAAATGATTACTGTAGTCCTCGAAGAAGCCAAAGAGAAGTGGGATTGTGAATCTATTTGTAGTAAGTATATTCACTTTATGATAGTAATTTTAAAGTATTAAAGTATATCAACTTTAGTCTGGGTGCAGTGGCTCATGCCTATAATCCCGGTACTTTGGGAGGCTGAGGCAGGTGGATCACCTGATGTCAGGAGTTCAAGACCAGCCTGGCCAACATGGTGAAACCCCGTCTCTACTAAAAATACAAAAATTAGCCAGGCATGGTGGCGGGCACCTGTAATCCCAGTACTCCAGAGGCTGAGGCAGGAGAATGGCTTGAACTTGGGAGGTGGAGGTTGCAGTGAGCCGAGATCACGCCATTGTACTCCAACCTGGGCAACAAGAGCGAAACTCTAAAACAAAAAAAAACACATACCAACTTTGAAAAAATACATATATTTTAATAAGAGTTACGCTTTTAGGAAATGTGTGAAAAATTATTTGGAAAGAGTAATATTCCAATATTGAGTTGTAAGCAATTTATAAAACATTGATCAGAGACTCCAATGTTATTTTGCACTATGAAAACACAAGGTCAGAAATATAGTAGGAATTCAGTAATGCTTGGTGGAACTGAAAGTGTGCTTATTGATACATGACTTTTATTTGTTTGTTTAGGTACATACTCAAATTTATATAACCATCCACAGCTTATCAAGTATCAACCAAAGGTAAGTCCTAGTGTGCTAAGCTATTTGAAGGATGCAGTGCCTAAAAAATAGAGTGCACATTTTCGCTCAGTAACTTTTTATCTTTGTGGCTAGCAGTGATATTAGGAAAAGCAGCAACAGTATGCCATTAATGTGCTATTTTTTAATAGGAATGAGAAATAACTCTAGTACCATTTTATCTGTATTTCAGCCCAAACAAATTCGAATATCTTCTAAAACAGGAATACCTCTCAATGTCTTACCAAAGCAAGGACTCACAGCAAAGCAAGCTGAAAGAATACAGATGATTAATGGCAGTGACCTTCCTAAAGTATCAACCCAGCCACGTTCTAAAAACGAAAGCAGAGAAGATAAAAGAGCAAGAAAGCAAGCTATCAAAGAAGAGCGCAAGGTAAAAAATATTTTTCAAATGTGAGATTTACAAAGAGCTGGTGGAGGGGAAATTAGGGGAATTTTGTAAAAGCAGCCTGTATCAGGTTAAAGATATGAGTAATACAAGTATATTCTTGTACTTACAACAGGAACGAAGAGTGGAGAAGAAAGCTAACAAGTTAGCATTTAAACTGGAGAAAAGAAGGCAAGAAAAAGAGCTGCAGAACTTGAAGAAGAATGTTGAGGGTCTAAAGCTATAGACAGTGGAGCATACAGGGCAAGGCACTTTATTAGGGGCTCTTCATTATCTTTAGTCATTGACTAGAACCTTCAGAAAGACAAAACTGTTTGCCATTTTACTGGCAGATAAGAGGAAAATACAGTATTTGTATTATTTTTATACCAGCAAGTGTCCCCTGCCAGCTGTCTTGTAAATACTGTAATGTTTTAATTTTTAATATTTTAAGCTTACATTTGCTCTGAAATAGATGACTTCATGAATGTGAAATGTTTGGATAAATTAAAGGAAAATATCCATAACTTGAATGGAATTCATTTATTTGTATGGTTGTCATAGTTGTTTTTTGCAGATGTTTTCAAATATTTCTTGGAATCCTCTCCATGCCTTTTCAGGAATTACGTGGTTTAATTTGCTGTAAATAGAAAAGTGGCCTGGTTAAACTCAATTTTGAAATGCTGACTTTATTCTGTTTAGTGTAAGATGAGTTTTTCTGAGAAGTTTCCACTGTTAGGAAGCTCAGTTTTCCCTTGCTGTATACAAAGGACTATTTCAAAAGGGTGGTAAAACTGAATATTAAGGTTCTTAAGATTCATATTTCCTGTTATATTACTGGATGACTTGCTTTTGGGATTTAGGAACAGTGAAGGCAGGAAACAGAATAGTCAAGGAAATAAGAAAACTTATTTAGCTTCAGTGAGTCCCTAGTTCAAAATCAGATGTATTTATTTCAGTTTAAACTGGAGTTTGTCTTTTCAGCATTAGTTAATCCTTGGAACCATTCATACTTGATTAAAATACATAGTTGAAAACTTTCCCTGTTTTTGATGAGTTGATTTTTGTTTTAACTGATTCAAACTTTTTCAAGGTTTAGGCAATGACATCATCACAGTTGTTGATTATTTGGTAAACTGTGACTTCTTGCAACAGATTAGTGGCCCTGGTTTATGTTCTTGTCTAGTATGTTGTTATCTAGACTAAGCTGTAAAAATCTGTGAACACTGTTGCTCTGAGTTAGGAACAGAATGGCTGGGGCAGAACCATTTTTGGCAGGTGAGCTGCACTTGATATCTAAATTATTAGAAAACTGCCTTCATCTGTAATCATTTGCTTATGGCTTTTCCAAAGCTGGTAGGTATTAGCTTGTTCTACCATGTGTGATCTGTTTAAATCTAAGTACTGTAGGATTTTTAAAGAGTTGTCAAAACTGATGGTGTTAGGTATTCTACCAACATAGGCTAGAAAAAAATCTTAACTGGAGCTTGTCATTGCAGAAGTAGGATACTGGAGAGAATGTATTTAAATGCCAGCCTGTGAAGTAAAGGGTCAGATGATGGTTTATGTCAATATTGAGAACGTAAGTACTAAAAGGATTGGCCATTTATTTTGATAGCTGTCTCAACTGAAGATTCTCAAAAACAGCAAGAGTCTTACAGGCATTGGATGTTCCTTTGTCATGTTACTCAAATTCTGTGTTATGAGGTGCTAACTTTACTTCACTTTCTTTAAATCCATATATTATATATCTTGCAATTAAGAGAAAAAGACTAGGCCATGAGTCTTGATGAAACATATTGTGATTTAGGCAGATTATACTCCAAACTTAAATATTTTAATTTTATTCTGAAGAACAAATTCATGATACTTTAAATGAATTTTCTGATATCTTTGTTGTCTAAAAATCTATAAATGATGATTGGGAACTGATCATAAAAGCTCCGTGTTAAATGTTGGGAGCCCAAGAGATCAGAGGGTTTTTGCCTTCAGGAGCCACATGGTCTGAGGAGGCAGGATAGGTGCAACGAAATGTAACTGGTGATACTATCACTGTTGTGGTAAGTACCACTTTAAATGAGAATCTTGGTACTTACTGTTCCCTGGAAGTGCTCTCACTGCAGACAGACCTTCCTCATGGTTGGTGCTCAGCTGTCACCTTCACTATAGGCTATTCTCTGAGCTTGTATTTAAAAATACTGCATGCATCCCTCCCTTGCATCCTTGACCCGCCCTCCCTGGTTTATGTTCTTCACAACCTCTGTTGACACAGAGAACTGGTTTTCAGTCTCCTCTTGCAGGACAAACCCTGAAGGCACAGTGTTTTATTTATTGCTTTATCCCCAGGTCTGGAACGGTGCCTGGCATTCAGTATACAGTCACAAAGTAGTGTATGGATGAATGGATACATGGGAAAGATTTCAGAAAAGAATTAAATGTGGAGAAAACCATAGCAGGGCCTAGACTCACTGGGGTTAGGGAGGAGAGAAAGGCCTAAGAGATCCCAGGCAGGGGGCAAAATATTGAAGAATTTGTATCTTAAACCTTTTTTGTTTTTTCTTTTTTTTTGCCAAGATGGAGTCTTGCTCTGTCACCCAGGCTGGAGTGCAGTGGTGCAATCTCAGCTCACTGCAGCCTGCAACTTCGGGTTCAAATGATTCTCCTCCCTCAGCCTCCCGAGCAGCTGGGATTACAGGTGTGCGCCACCACGCCCAGCTAACTTTCGTATTCTTAGAGACAGGGTTTCACCATATTGGCCAGGCTGGTCTCGAACTCTTGACCTTGTGATCTGTCCGCCTCAGCCTCCCAAAGTGCTGGGATTTCAGACATGAGCCACCAACACCCGGCCCACCTATTTTGTTTAAGCACTGCCTGTGACTGGTGTTAAAACCACCTGGATATTGTGGTACCACAGATGCTCCTTGACTCATGGTGGGATTATGCCCTGATAAACCCACCATAAGCTGAAAACATGGTAAGTCAAAAATGCATTTACTATACTTAACCTACTGAATATCATAGTTCAGCCTAGCCTACCTTAAACTTGCTCAGAATACTTTCCATTAGCCCACAGTTGTGCAAAATCATCTGGCAATACAGTACGCTGTAGAGTTACCAGTTTGCCCTCGTGATCACGTGGCTCCACTGCCGCCCAGCATCATGAGAGGATTGTACCACTTTCTACTGAATACATACTGCTTTCTCACCATTATGGAAAAATTGTGAAGTTGAACCATCGTAAGTTGAGGACCATCTGTACTGTTACTTTACAAGTCTAAGTGTCTGAAGTGCAGTTACCGCTTGTGTGTATTACCTGTGATGCCCTGTATCTACACCTCCATTGTGATGTCATCAAGTCACCTCAGTTGAAAGAACTCTAACCTCTTGTAACTTTACTGTTATGTTTTCAATACTTTTATGTTACTTCTTCATGTGGGTTGACATTGCTATGCTTTATCAGTCTTTTTCCAGTTAAACGGCAGAGAAGGTAGAAATTCTAATGGCCTTGCATTTTTATTGTGAAGCTTACAGGAGAATGTTTAAAGCAAACACAGGGCCACTGTTCAAGTTAAGAAATACAACATAGAAGTCCCCAGTGAATCCATCCTTGATTTCATGTCACTCTTTGCCCTCAGGTAATCCAGCTGTCATGCAAGTTGAACATCTAATCCAAAATCCAAAACGTTGAGTACCAATGTGAGACAACAAATAGAAAACACCACGCATAAGTACTTAATACAAGCTTTGTTTCATGCACAGAATTATTTAAAATATTGCATAAAATTACTTTCAGGCTGTGTGTATAAGGTGACATCTGAAATAAAGTGTTTAGACTTGGGTTCCATCCCCATGATATCTTGTTCCAAAATCTGAAAAAAAAAATCTGCAACACTTCTGGTCCCAAGCATTTTGGATAAGGGATACTCAACCTGCATTAAGTATTTCCTTCTTTTTTAAAGCTACTTGTATAGTATCCCTAAACACAACACCTTTTTTCATTTTGACAACTGAAAAAAACAAACCTAGCTTTTTGAGGGCAGTATTTGCTACCAATTAGATGAAAGCTTCCTAGGGAAGATGAACTGTGAACAGTCCCTGGGTCTGACTTCGACTTCTAGAGTTTACAGGAACCCATGTTTAGATGTCAGTGAGCAAGGTGATGAGTGAGTTTTAGGGAACAAGTCACAGTTTAGGCATCCAGGATGTGCAGAAATATGCTTAAAGGATTGTATTCTTGTTTTATATTTTCTGCTTCTAAACTCACCCTGACCTCTCAAGATCAATGCAGAACCTTCCTGTGGGGTGAAATGAGTGTCTCCAACTGATCTAGAGATCAGGATATGGAAGGGAGAGCAGGCACTTTATTAGAATGTGGCCAAACATGCCAAGTGTAGAACAAAATGGGAGCCAGGACTTCCTTGAATATACTGTCTTGAGATTATGAAGGCAGTGAATATGTTAGTCATGATAGCCTTCAACACATCTGTTTCTTTAATCACACACCTCAAACCTCGACTGGTTGCTCTTTGGTTGTGGTGCCTAACTATCATACTGAGAATTCTCTTTTCTCTATCCATTGTATAATTGCCTTTTCCTATATCTCATTCACATGCTTGTGGATCACATCCTCCAGTAATTCATGAAATGGGGTACAGGGGATGTAGACTTTTTGGGAACTTGGATGTCTGGAAATATATTCTACTCTTATGCTGGATTGACAGCTTGACTGGATATAGAATTCTTGGTTGTAGATTACCTCAGAAGTTTAAAGGGTTTCTCCCATTAGTTTCCATTTCCAATTTTGCTTTTTGGAAATCTGAAGCCATCCTGATTGCTGATCGTTTGTATCTGATTTTTCTGTGGAAGTCTGTAGAATCTGTCTTCAGTATTCTGAAACTTCCATTTTACTGAGTATTTTAAATCAGGTGTATCAGGGTTCTCTAGAGGGACAGAACTAATAGGATAGATCTATATATAAAGGGGAACTTATTAAGTATTAACTCACAATCAATCACAAGGTCCCACAATAGGCCATCTGCAAGCTGAGGAGCAAGGAGAACCAGTACAGTGCCCAAACTGAAGAACTTGGGAGTCTGATGTTTGAGGGCAGGAAGCATCCAGCACAGGAGAAAGATGTAGGCTGGGAGGCTAGGCCAGTCTAGTCTTTTCACATTTTTTTTTTTCTGCCTGCTTTAGATTAGATCCACGCTGGCAGGTGACTAGATGGTGCCCACCCAGATTAAGGATGGGTCTGCCTTCCCCAGCCCACTGACTCAAATGTTAATCTCCTTTGGCAACACCCTCAAAGACACACCCAGGATCAATAACTTTGCATCCTTCAATCCAATCAGGTTGACACTCAGTATTAACCATCACAAGTCCACCTCTTGTCAACTTGAACCCATATCCATCTCCTGAGATCATACGTAATCTCCAAATAAAGACGATAATGAGGTCATAATTATGCTTAACGTAATACAACTACCCCTCCTATAATCAGAAATGCACCAATCCCCAACCCAAATACTATTACTATACTATATAGTATACTTACATACTATACTATATACTACATATAAGTACACTATATGTAAGTATACTATATACTATATAGTATGTAAGTATACTATAGTAAGTATAGTATATAAGTATACTATAACAAAAATGGTGATGTGAAGTCAATAAATCATGTCACATGATGAAGGAAAAAGGAAATAAAATGAAGATATCTTCTTAGTACAAGTGTGTACGTGCACAAACATGGTTTTAACAAAAGAAGGAGGAAACACTCATGACAATTACAGTCCTCGTTTCTGCAGCTGGTCAAGTGGTCATAGCTGATATTGATGACTACATTCTTCTACTACCCATTCTGTATTCCCTTTGCCTTCAGCAAGCACCTCAGCAGGTTATGGTTTTTTCCTGGTGGAGTGACCCAAACCTTCATTCCTGAAGGGTCTGGGCCATTTGTAGTTCTGCCTGGATTGGGCTGTTGTAGTTTCCCATTGACCTTAATCACAGGGCATGGTAATACTAAGAGACACCCTAATAAATCTCCTGTATTGCATGCATACTCTTCCTTACCTCTGTTGTGGAATAGTAGAGCATACATGGCCTTCTAGAGAACTTTACCCAGCCCTTCAAAGTATTGTCACCTAGTTGGTGTTGTGATTGTGACTTCAAAAGGCCATTCCACTGTTCTATAAATCCAACTGCTTCAGGATGATGAAGAACATGGTGAGACCAGTGAATTCCATGAGCATGAGGCCACTGCCACACTTCTTTAGCTGTAAAGTGAGTGTCTTGGTCAGAGGCAATGCTTTGTGGAATACCATGACAGTGGATAAAGCATGCTATGAGTCCACGGATGGTAGTCTTGGCAGAAGCATTGCATGGAGGATAGGCAAACCCATATCCAGAGTGAGTGTCTATTCCAGTGAGGAGAAACCTCTGCCCTTTCCATGATGGAGGAGGTTCAACATAATCAACCTGCCAGCAGATAGTTGGCTGATCACCCTGAGAAATGGTGCCATATCGAGGTCTCAGTGTTGGTCTCTGTTGCTGGAAAATTGGGCACTCAGCAATGGCTGTAGTCAGGTCAGCTTTGGTGAATGGAAGTCCATGTTGCTGAGCCCATGCATAACCTGCATTCCTGCCACCATGGCCACTTTGTTCATGGGCCCATTGGGCGACGACAGGGTTGGCTGGGGAAAGAAGCTGAGTGGTGTCCACAGAACAGGTCATCCTATCCACTTGATTATTAAAATCCTTCTCTGCTGAGGTCACCAGTTGGTGAGCATTCACATGGGATACAAATATCTTCCCAGTTTTTGACCCCTCAGAGAGGTCCATCCACATACCTCTTCCCCAGATTTCTTTGTCACCAATTTTCCAAGCATGCGTCTTCCAAGTCCCTGACTATCCAGCCAAACCACTGGCAACAGCCCATGAATCAGTATATAATCACACATCTGACCATTTCTCCTTTCATGCAAAGTGCACAAGCAAGTGCACTGATTAAAGTTCTGCCCACTGGGAACATTTTCCCTCACCGCTTTCAGGGATGTCCTAGAAAGGCAGCTGTCCACTTTTGGGTGGTGCCTCCATATTGTGCAGAACCATCTGTGAACCATACTCTAGTCTTTTTCTGTCAACTGATCATAGGGAACTCCCCATGAGGCATCGGTGCAGGCTGGGGGAGAGAAGGCAGGGTGGCAGAAGTGGAGACCATGGGCATTTGAGCCACTTCCTCATGTAAGTTACTTGTGCCTTTAGGACCTGCTTGAGCCCGATCACGTATGTACCACTTCCATTTGATGATGGAATGCTGCTGTGCATGACCTACTCTATGGCTAGATGAGTCAGAAAACACTCAGTTCATGATAGGCAGATCAGGTTGCATGGTGGCTTGATGACCCACAGTCAGACGTTCAGTTTCACCAAAGCCCAGTATCAGGCCAAGAGCTGTCTCTCAAAAGGAGAGTGGTTATCTGCAGAAGATGGCAGAGCCTTACTCCAAAATCCTAGAGGCCTCCGCTGTGATTCACCTTTGGGGGCCTGCCAAAGGCTCTAAACAGCATCACTATCTGCCACTGACACCTCAAGTACATTGGATCTGCTGGGTTATATGGCCCAATTGACAGAGCAGCTTGCACAGCAGCCTGGATCTATTGCAGAGCCTTCTCCTGTTCTGGACCCCACTCAAAACTGGCAGCCTTTCAGGTCACTCAATAAATGGGCCACATTAACACACCCAAATGAGAAATGTGTTGCCTCCAAAATCCAAATAGACCCACTAGACATTATGCCTCTTTCTTGGTGGTAGGAGGGGCCAAATGCAGCAACTTATCCTTCACCTTAGAAGGAATATCTTGACAGGACCCATAGCACTGGGCCCCTAGAAATTTTATTGAGGAAGAAGTTCCCTGAATTTTCATCAGATTTCCCATCCTCTGGCACACAAATATCTTACCAATAAGTCCAGTGTGTTTACTACTTCTTGCTCACTGGATCCAATCAGCATAATGTCATCAATGTAATGGACCAGCGTGATATCTTGTGGAAGCAAAAAATGAGCAAAGTCTCTCTGAATAAGATTATGACACAAAGCCAGAGAGTTAATATACCTCTGAGGTAGAACAGTAAAGGCATATTGCTGGCCTTGCCAGCTGAAGGCAAATTGCTTCTGGTGGGCCTTATGGACAGGAATGGAGAAAAGGGCATTTGCCAAGCCAATGGCTGCATACCAGGTACCAAGAAATGTGTTAATTTGCTCAAGCAGTGAAACCACATCTGGTACAGCAGCTGCAGTTGGAGTCACCACTTGG